TTATCAGTAGATACTGATCTGGACTGTGTATCAGGGTGGCAGTGGCGCTGAATCGAAATGATCCCGGAGGCCGTGGTGAAAGGAGTCTCATTGATATGGGTGGATATGGATCACTAAAGGAAAAGGCCTCTGAGGATTAACTAAAATCTATACCGCGCTCATATCGACATAGCGTTTCAGTGACCAATATGTGAATATCCTTGATGATACAGTTTGCATCGTTTCGACAGAGCTTGTCTGTAGTACAAAGTAAGAAGTAAATAAATATCAAATGGGAAAAATATAAAAGCAAATATATAAAACATTTCATAAATGGTAAGAAAGAAGAAATAAATGGCTCTTATGACAGAAAGTAAACGCAAGAAATAAAACAATGAAAGAATTGTAGAAAATTACCGGAATGACAAAGCTAGGAATATCTTCAAGAAAACCGACATAATGTCAAACGATAGCAAGAATGGTTAAAACAAAATACGGTGAAGCAATTTAAGTATTTAGAGAAATGAGTATTACATAGGATAGACAAATAAGATTACGGGAGCAAAATTATGTAGATTAGGATTCGCGACAAAAATCATATAGAACAAAAGGAATTGATATTTATTTACAATAAATTTTCTTGTTGTTGTTTGTAGTTGGGAAGAAGGACTGTAAGAAGCCTTCGATAGGAGAGGTCTAGAGTGAGGTCTAGTACAGGACTGGAATCTATGGATCAACCTCTATTGAAAACACTGTGCTACGGCAGGAGAAGGAAAACCAAGAAAAAGATTTAAAATATTTATAATTAAAATATTTAATATTTATCTTGAAATTCAAAACGAAACTGTAGTGAAACAGGCAGTATTGTACAGTGCAGAGATAATATAGTTCACAAGTATGGAGGGTTATTAAAAACGGTAAGAAAAATCTTGTGAAATACACAAAATTAGTAAAAGAAAATATTTAAAAATTTTATGACAGACATCAAGATCTAAAACAAAAAACGTCTGCCAAGTAAGGTCAGTATAGCTTCCTCACAATTTTCATTTGCTAAAAAAATATCTATATTAAAAGGTCTAAACATTTTCTTATGAGAATAAAATCTCTGGAAGAAGCCGTTTTCGGAAATTCAATAATCCCTTATTAACTTACAAATAATCCCATATATGCGGGCTTGATCCACGAGTTATGTTTATCAGCAAATAATAAAGTGCGAAAAGGATTTGCATTTGCAGACTGCATATTTGATAATTCGTAATTAAAAAAAAAATCCAGCGCATACTGAATATGTATCTCGCTACTGTTAGTACATGTAACGTATATAAAAATTGAGTGTTTTACAGGATAGTAAACAGATTAATTATTTCTTTAATATTTATTAGAATAATTTTATATTTTATTGCCCTCTGCTATTTTTCATAGTAGTAGACTGCTTATATCAATTGCAGACTACATAATGTCAAAAATAGAATAAAAATTAAAAATATATACTTAATAGGTATGTTTTCACTCGTAAAATGGATGGAACAAAAATCCATAGGAAGAATTCAACTTTTTGTTTGTTCAGAGTTAATACTTTTCTTCAATCAGAACAAAACTGACAAAGCTGGAATATAAGAATATGAATGAAATTGACACAACTTTTATATTTAAGGAGAAAATCGATACCACGACGAACTGGTTGAACTTCAATAGAAATAAACACAATCACAAATAATACTTTTTTTTTTACAAATTCAGAGTAAAAATTACTTTAAATTTACTGAAAATTACACTAAATCTATGTAACTGCAATAAGTGTCATGCCAGTAATGTTTGGAATCGGCCAAAAAATTCAGTACAAATTAACATTTTCGAATAAAGCCTAAAATTTTATAACCACATAACAATATTGTAATAACCTAACTCCCACTCCATGTGATCAGTGCTTTCCACATTTCACAGCCATTATATTGTAAACAATTATTTATATTAATTTTAATTATTAAATGGAATTCATTGAAATTGATACTAAGTAATTTCTATACTGTTCTCTAAATTTCCTCCAAGTTTGGGTCAAATCGAATGCTCCGTTTTGAAACTGTAGGCATATCAAATATCACATTTTCTGATGTGAAAGCGGAATTTTTTTTTTTTTTTGGAGTATTACATAGAATTGATGCCGATTTCATTTTACGTTGACCAATCCCTAAATTCTCTCCAAGTTTGAGCCAAATCGAACTTGCGGTTTTAGAGATATAGACGTATCAAGAAAAACAGGTTTGATCATTTATAAAAGAAATCAATGGAAAGAATTCAATCAAATTGACTACACATTATTTTTTTTTACAAATACCTACCTTTTTTCTAGCTGTGAGCTAAATCGAACGAGCCGTTTCTGAAATATTGGGATATCTACAAAATTCGTTTGCGGGTGCGTAAGTGGAAGTGCGGGTTATAATTTAATAAAATTGATATGGGAGCATTTAGACACCAACCCGCAAAATCCCTGAAAATCGAATAAACAGTAGTAGGTGATATGCCCGTTACATCGAATTGACTACAGACAGACATACACCGAACCAAATTTGATCATTGACGTCTGAAACGTAAAAAGTAAGTTAAAATTTTCGATTCTGAGCACAAAATTTTTTTTAATCCTCGCACGAATACAATGCTTCCTTACCTGTGGTAGCGAGGAAGCAAAATTTCATATAAACAATTGTCCGACTACTAGCAGAAAATAAGGAAATTTAAGATATATATATTTTTTAAGTGAATCACGCTTTTTATTGAATATTGAGAGATAACTAAAAACACATTTGATTTAAGTAATTAAACATTACTCCGTAGTAAACTAGTCAGAATTTACTTCAAATGGATGTAGAATTTATCGTTTTAAAGAGGACTATTAAACGGACCAACTCGACTAAGTGCCGTTTAAAAAAAGGTCATAAATTAACTGAGACTTTTTTATCATCCTTCAACTGTACTACAGTTGCCCAAATTTTAGAAAAACTTCCACATATAATTAGATTTAAGTTCATATTAATTAAGTTGAGTTTTAAGGGAAAATATAGAAATTCAAGTTGTGTAAAAAAAATGATGATTTTCCATCCAGTAAACTAAAAGTATCAAACAAATGACTACAGTTAACCGTTGCAAAGAATTTATTTCTTGTTTTTCCTTTTTATGAGATTTATTTTAATAAACTTAATTGCCTAAAATCACATTTTATAAATAAAAATAAATTTCGATTGGAGCGTTTTTACAAAGAGGAGAGATAATGTTTCATGTACATTATAGTTGTTGTAAAAATAATATAAATGACTATATTAGAGACATTTAAACCGCCTATTGAAGAAAATTACTTTCTGAATCTGATTTTATAAATGTCATCAAACATCCTGGCGATGGAGCGATAGTTGGGCCTTTATCTATCCGTGTTAAGAAGCAGCCCGCCCGGAGGTCGGAGCTAAATGTCAAGTGATTATAAGCATGTTCTCAAAGGACTCGATGGTATTCCTCCGCGAAGCGCCGTCACTGTTTGTACAAATACAATTACCATAGCGTAGGGCCTTAAGGTTAAGTCTACTCTTTTCTTCTACGCAGTTACACGGCAGCTGTTTCACACCTTTGAAGCAACTACAGGTGTACAAAGGAATATCGATAATAATATACGGTGAGAAAAACTCACTTATATTACAAAAAAACTGAGATGAAGGGACTGATTTAGGGAATGATTTAGGGACTGATTTAGGGACGGTTCGCAATTTTATTTTCTGTGTGAAGAGTGAATTAGATTGAGCCGTCAGACCCCGATATGTAACGCTCGGGTAAAGTCGGTTGAGATGGATCAATTGTTTTTTCATATGAATTAAAATATGTTAAGAAAGAGATGTGTTCATAATCTCTTCTTCTTTGTAATGAGCTATTATTGAAAATTGTATCCTAACACGACGCCGAGTTAAGATACAAAGAGGCGAAAAGGGAAAAAAATAGTGCCGAAACCAAAAGATATAGAGTTTTATTTTGGGATATGGATTAACATATCTCAGAAACTAAAATTTAGACCCGCTTACTGTAAGCAAGAACTTACTGAGTTCAGGGAAGAATAGTATTTGGTTGGAATAAGTACATAACAAATGGAAACATAAGTATCGACCTAAAAAAGCTAGTTTTCGATAGATGTATTATGCCAGTGGTGATCTATGGCTCCCAAACATGGTCATTGACAAAAGCCCAAAGAGAGGAAGATCAATGTGTGGCAAAATAGCAACGAGAGAAGCATTGTGAAAGTAATAAAGATAGATAAAATCAGATGCAAGAAGATAAAAGAAGAAACAGAGCTGAAAGACACACATCTCCTGCGATGCAACGACAATAGATTGTCAAAAATAGTCACCGAATGGACACCATATGACCGGAAAAGGATGAGAGGCCGACAAATGAGGAGATGGAGAGATCCATTTAGGCTTTTGGCAGGACCTCTTTGGTGGAGAGCAGCTAGGGACAGAGATACGTGGAAAGAAAAATGGTTAAATGTAAGAAATACCGCGTCCCTTAGGGCTAGTCATCCAGGGAAGTGTTAAAGACTATTCTTAAAGGAAGACCTATGCAAGAATAGCAAAAAGGTTTTTTATAAATTATAATAATGTAAAAATTTGTTTTCTTTTGCAATTGTATGTGTTATAGAAATCGTAATATTTATGCATAACTAAAGGCTATTTCCATTTCATTTCACTGTAAACAAGGAAAATGTTCTGTATTTCATCCTATTATAATAAGCAATTATTTATAATTTATATTGCATATTATTAATCTCGCCTTGTTAATGTTTTAACTTTTATTGTGTAGTCTAAAGCACACACCTTAATTTTTTTTTTACTTTCAGTTTTAATTTTTCTTTTTAACTTGTTATTCGCAAAATTTTATATTTTGTATGTTCAAAGTTATTGTTAATTTCTATTTTTTGTATTAGCTTTAAACGACCCTTAAGTGCTTGAAAAATCGATGTTGTTATAATAAATAAGAAAATAAACATATTATTATTTTTATATTGTTTACTGTGAATCAGACGGCTTGCTCTATCTCTCACGACGGTACTTCGCCATCGCCTTCTGCCGTTGACTGCCAGTCCTCGGGATACCAAGTTCCTCCGCAGATCGTAGCAGTTCTATCTTCATCTGGAGGCCGTCCAGAGGCATTCCGTTGTACTCCCGGATGGCTCTCAGAGCGTTCGACCTCTTTTCGTAGACCAGATCGGCAGATCCTGTCGACCTCCCGAGCCTGTCGTAGTGAACTGTGACCTCCTTCACTGTTCCCAGGACGGAGAAGAGCTCCTTCAAATCGTTGTTGGACACGTCCGAATGGAGGTTGTAGATGAACAGCTTGGATTCTCCTTGTACCTGAATGTTATCCTGTTCTCTGGCTGCTGCTTCCTGTCTTCTTGCAGCTTCCAGAAGCCACCTCCTGTTTTCACTATTGTGTAACCCGAAGTTGTTTCGTCTGTTGTGTCTTCCAGTTTGCCATCTTGAATCATCCATTTCATCTTCGTCGAATCCATCCTCTTCTTCTTCATCGTCATCATACCTCCACTTCCTACCCATTTGCCGCCTGCCCCATCCGGAATCTCCTCTCGATCTGTAAGATATAGGGCTGCCCTGCTGCATCCTTCCCATCCTCATTGGATCCCTCACCCTGATTTGTTTCTTCCTGATATATTCGTCCAGACTCATCTCCAATGGATCAGCCATTTTTCGAAGCTGCGGTCATACATCAAGGAAATTTCTTATTACCTTTAATCACAAAATAAGTATTCCTCGAAAACAATGAAAGTTATCAAATATGGCTTCTTTAAATTGTTTTATTCGTTAAAGCGAGTATGCAATCTTAGTCACATGATTATTGCAACAATACAAACACATATTGTATTTTTAATTCAGTATGTCGTTCTTTAAATATAAAATAACAAATTAAAAGTAAGAAAGTAATGATAAGTAATAAAAACCGACCTTCTCGTGCTCTATCCCTTTTCGTTTCTCATATGACTTAAATTTTATTTATGTATTGGGTCATTACGATCAACTACTACATAGGCATACATAACAAATCTACAGCTAACAAATACAATTTAAAGTTTAGAAAGTTAAAAATAGTTATTGGTGAATACGATAGTACAATTGAAAGTTAAAGATTAAAAGGAGATAAGTTAACAAAGAAAATTAAAATAAATGTTAATCATTTAAGAAAAAAAGCTAAAAATACCTTTTTAAAAAATAAAAGTTTGAATTCCTCTCGTATCCAATCCTTACAATCCAAAATCCTTCGTAAAATCCTCAACGCTTCTTACTTTGTCGCAAATAAAATCATCCATAAAGACCTTAATGTTCCGTATGTTTCCGATTTGGCCCAATCAAGATACCTATCCTTCCATAATAAACTGCAGAACCATCCGAATCCTCTCGTTTCAAACCTTGCTTCCTCCTCGATCCCTGGTAATCCTCCGAGGCCTCTGAAAAGAAGATGGCCTAGGGACCTTCTAATATAGAACTTTAATTTGAGTTCTACCAATGGGTAGTTTCTCATCATGTTGTACGTGTCATGTTACCATTTTCACATTTTCTTGATGTATTTTCTATGTAATACAGCTGTAAATTTCACTAAAATAAAAAAATAAAATAAAATAAAAGTTAATATTAATAAAGAGAAGTTAAAGAGTACAGTTTAAATATTAAAAAGTACAAGAAGTAAAGTTGACAAAAAAACATTAAAATTAAATATTAGAAAAAGATAAATTAAAAATGACATTTAAATAAAAGGTTAATGATTTCAGGAATATAATCTAAAAATACGGTTTTAAAAATAACATTAATGTAAAAAATTACAAGAAAAATTGAGAAACCATTATAATTAAAAATCAAGATTAAAATAAGAAAAATTGACAGGTTTATTTACAATTAGAAGAGGAACCTACAAACTTAACAGGTACCTATATTTACAATTACAAGGTATGATTCAATTTAGTACAAATTAATAGATGTGATTACAACATGTTTTAATAGCATTGGGGACTGAAATTAATAACAGAAGAAGAATCTTAATTAATTCAACCAATCTTATAAGACGCAGATTTTTCTCTATTATATATCATAAAAAGTTTTATTTATTTACATTAATGGACCCAAACAGAGAACTCATCACGAGGTATTCTTAACAGCAACCCTCGAAAATAGAAATTATGTTTACAAAATTACAGATAAAATGGCGGTCATACTTAAAGATCTCCAGTTAGGATTTTCAGGCAGAAAAGATACAATCGTGATTCGTTCAGACTCACTATACGTTCTTCGATGTACCAATAATCCCAAGTCGGCAAAACCACTTTTCATAGAAATCTGTTCCAATTTTGAGCAGAACGGTAGTTTTATTTGGGTACCAAGCCCGATATGGCTACCCAAACTGCAACTGAAGCTCACTTGTTATCATCTTTCAAGTACTGAAAATTTTCAGCCTATAATAGAAGACATATAGAGCAAGTGGAAAACACAATGAGATCAGAAAAAATAAAATAAACTTGGATTGGTTATATTCCAATGTATTGGCTAGTTATAGATGGTTGCTATATACTGTTGTTTTTTAGGGCTTAGACGAATAAAACCGCTCAGGGATCTTCTATCCCTAGGCGTCTCGAGGAAACTGAACAGGTTGGCAAGAATTACCATGAGTGACACAAGATGCCGAATGAAGGAATCTTCCAAGGAGATACAAAGGCAACCAAATAAAGTTGTTGCTGCGGTTCCAGAGAAAGTTAAAAATAGACAAAATATTAAGGAGAACGTAGTTGATATTTCTGACCAAGCTACTCAAAATCAGGTTAACCAGCCACTTTACTTCCAACAGATGAGCAGAAGTAACATAAATACTGAATTAACTGATAGACAAAAGGCTGTTGTGGATGCATTTAATTATGCTTGGAGGGGCTATAAAAATTGGGCTTGGGGTCATGACAGTCTAAGAACTATTTAAAAAAAGCCTTGTAATTGGTTTAAATTGGCTGTTTCAATTGTGGATTCCATAGGTAAAATGTATATTATGAGATTAAAAGAAGAATTAAGAGAAGCTCAGGATTGGGTTGAACACACCTAGAAGTTCATTGAATATAATGATGTAAATTTATTTGAAGTAACTATACGTGTATTAGGAGGATTCCTCTCTGCTTTCTATCTCACTGGTAAATCTATTTACAAAGATAAAGCTAAAGACCTTGGTGAATGATTACTACCCTGTTTAACACAATATCCATCTCCGTTTACATATCGTGATGTGAATCTTGCATTCCATAATGCAAAAGAAACCACGCTTTTTTATGAGAAGGAGTTAATCGAGGGTGCGGTCAAATAAATAATAAAAAAAAATTAAAATATATAAATTATTTTAATTTTTGCCGACGTTTCGACCCACTTTGAAGGTCGTCTTCAGGGCGTAGGATGTGGCACTGCGGGAGGCAGTTGAACACGCTTTTTTATATGAGCTTGGAAAAAGCTGTGCATGCCAGCAGGACAAACCCACGAGGGATAAAATCACACGGCATCTTGCATATGCAGATGACGTGGAAATTGTGGCCACATACGTTCCAGCAATGGCAAGGGGTCTGAGCATAAACAAAAAGAATACTGCCTACATGAAGAGCAGCAGACGTCATTCCTTACAGAACAATAAAAAAAATAAGTATCCTATAATTTCTCAGCGTGCAGGGAGTTAAAGTACCTTGGCTCCTTGATGACAGATTGTAATAATATTTAGGCTGAAATTGGTGTCAGAATAGCTGCGAGAAATAGATGCTATTTTGCCCTTCAGTGGGTAATTGAATTCCGCGATATTTCAAGGAAGGTGGCAGTGAAACATGGACAATGATGACTGACATGAGAGAATGCTGGAAGTCTAGGAGAGGAAGATCCTACTCAAGATACATGGACCTTTGTGTGAGAGAGGAATATGGAGAGCCAGGTATAACCGGGAGCTTGCTGCTCTATACGTATAACATGGATGGACCATGTGGAGAGGATGCCAGAAGAAAGGGTGCCAAGAAAAGTGCTGTATGTACAACTAGGAGGAGGAAGAACGAGATAGAGAGATAGAAAAATAATTTTATTCTGGGACACAGTCCCTTGAGAATAACAAAATAGAAAAAAAATTAAAAGATCACATCTTGCCAAAATAAAATCAATAAAAAAAAAGAGATAATGTAAAAAATATATAAGGGAAACATTCTATATACAAAAAAAAAACAACGAAATTATATACAAAACAATTGATACTATGACAAGGCACTTAAAGCTATTTGCACTGATAGACTCGTATACACTTTTGAGAAAATAATAAAGAATTAAAAAATAAAAATGTATCAAATTCGCTGTTAAAATCAACTCGAATAGTTAGCAACTATCTGACTGTTCTTGGGATAGGAATTGGAATAGGAGGGTTTTGAATTTGGATATGGATGGGGAATGTCGAATTTTGATAGGGAGGGAACTCCAGAAATTGACAGAGCGAACAATAAAGGAATTTTGGAATGAGGCAGATCTGTAAGAAGGCATGTAAAGGTTAGAAGGTCGAGATCTTGTGGACAGGGAATGGACTGAGGATTTGAACTGGAGAAGGTTGTAGGCGTAAGAAGGACGATGACCACAAGTAAAGAAGGATACAGGCCACAAGTACGGTGGATAGATGACATAGAGACGGATTTGAGACAACTTGGTGTCAAGTGGAGGAGAGCTGCCGCAGAAGATCGAAGAAGAGTGGCGAAGAATTGTGAAGGAGGCCCAGATCCCTCCTGGACCATAGCAAAGAGGAAGAAGAAGAGCGATAAAACCCCGAGGTCGTCAACGCCTATCTGATCTTCATTTCAATTATTTCAACCATAAATTATTATGAAAAAAATAACACTCAAACTTAAATTTTGTTTTGTAAATCGTTAGCTTTAATACAATTTATCTCCGATCTTACTTGAACTTCATAATTATATTAAACAACTCATAATTTTGGTATGAGTCCTAATTTGGTTAGAATTGATATGTAATAAGGACACTTTTGGAGAATGTGGCTAACTGTGAGGTTAATGTTGTATTGTTAACATTTTGGTAAAAGCTGTTTCGTTAAAAGATAAGAATGTGTAAAGTCCGTATGCCCTATCCTTAGTCTAGTCAAGGCAACTTCCACTCTATGATAGGGAGGTTTGAGATGGACCATGATCAATGAATGAAGTTAACAGATATTAGAGGAAGCCATAGATGGCGATAATGCGCCTGCGTTAGGTGTATAAGAAATAAATTGACATCGTTTCATAATGTTTTTTTAATTATACGTTCCTGAATGATCATTGAAAAAAAAAATCGATTTAGCTTAATTTGGGAACTATCTTAAGCGTTCGTGTAAACATCCTAAGCAGGAAATATGGCCGAGCGGCGGCGTACAATTACCGTCCATTACGCACGCCACGACTCACGGCTTCTTTTATTTAATTGCCGCTAAATGACTTGACAGTTGGAATCCCGCTCGGGGTATAATTGTGTTTACCTTTAGCTCGGCGATGAGGCCGCCCAGGTAACAATTTACCTGTAACAGGTCTCATTAACTATTTAGATTACACCTTTATTCTAATGGCCCAAACAGGTATTTTAGGTTTTTTTTTGTTTTATTTGTCAGTTTTGTAAACGATTCGGAGTTCCTGATTCGTCGTCACTGATGGCTTAATTGAAATTTAGATTCCGAACTTTAAAAGAGACGTCTTCACTTGGAAATGCGGTTGTAAAAAAAAAAAAAAAAAAAAAAAAAAAGGACATTAAACAAAAAGGACAAGGATTTTCGAAGCTTTTCGTAATGTTCGACCTCCAAGATGTCAAAGCTACGTTTTCGGAAATTAGGATTCGAGCGACCTTTAACTGAAAGTGCGAATAATATGTACCTTTTCACGAATTATCAACCAAACAAAAAGCCGTAAATTAATTGTAGTTTTTTTAATATTTTTACATTCACCTACATCTATACGTAATGTATAGTAAGGGTAAGTATTGCAATCGTAAACATTTTTAAATCTCAGTTTTGAGACAACCGAAATATACGTTTTGAGTCCAAATAACCAAGTCCCGAAAAATGGTATGTGTGTCTGTTAACAGTCAAGCTCTTAAGAAAGCATTTAAGAGAGGTAAATGCTTCAGATGTGCCAGCCCATAATCTGAAATAACAACATTACCCTCTCCACTTAAAGTTAGTGTAACAACTTTTGACCTATCCATGGCAGGCAATGAAAATCTCGTAATTTCGTTAAGTAACTGTTATTAAAGTAAACTTTCCAACGGAAAATAACAGTTTAATAACTAATAATCCTACATTATATAATCATTTATATGTTAAATATTCACGTGTACTTTTAAATAACTCTAGGAATATATGAGCCTTTCGGTTGACAGAATGACTAACTCCAATTTCAACATTACTTATTCACAGTTCTATGTTTCAAAACTGCAATCACCTACACTGGAATCAACTTACTCACTGTCTGTATAGATATAACTTTTCCTATTAGAAATATCACTAAAATGACTTTACTCAAAAATGTTGAAATTGGAGTTAGTCATTCTATCAATTGAAAAGCTCAGAGATCGAAGTTATGTGGTTTATAAAAGAAAAAGGAAAAACTAGATTTTTATTGCCTATAGTAGATATAATAAATAGACTTTTTGTAATTTCAATGGTCTTAATGATTTGTTATCTGTAAACTTCAAGCTTTAGCTCCGTTTAAAATGCACATCGAATATTTCATAATAGCCCAACATTGCCAGAAAATAATTTGTACTCAAAGTAGAGAGGTGAGTGAAAGTTGTGTATTGCGCGCACCAGATTTTGTACTTTCACTTACGTATATATGTTATATATAGTAAGGGTAAGTATTGCGATCGTGAAAATTTTCAAATCTCAGTTTACAACGGAAATACATTTTTTGAGGCCCTCTTAATCCAAATAACCAAGTGTCGCAAAATGGTCTGTGTGTGTGTGTGTGTGTGTGTGTTAACAGTCTAGCTCATAAACGAAAATATGGGCCGGATGTGACAGCAACTTTTTTTATTAAAATCGGCTAAGCGGAAGTGCCACTTTATATGAACGCTGAAACACATTTTTACAATTTTCTCAAAAACGGCTCTAACGATTTTGATTAAACTCTGTGTATCATTGTATAATTAACTGGACTTTAATATCATTTAGGTCTTATCACCGCTTATGTCACTTTACAGGGCTTAAATGCCCAATGTCTTCCTCTAAAGTACCTTTAATATGGTTTATTTAAAAAAGTTAAGAAAAAATGCTACATATAATTTTTTCAAGAATTGTATAAGTTAATAAAGGAGAAAAAAAATAAAAATGCAGAAAAACCTGCGTTGCTATAGACTGTAGTGCCTAACCGAATCATCTATATAACATATTTCAACGAAAAGAAGGTGGGAAAAAAGTTACAAGGTATGGTCAAATTAAATTTCGAATAACTAAAAAAGTATACATTTTTTTGTCGATATTGAGATAAAATGTTTCAATTTTTTTTAAATTTCCTAAAAAAAAAAAAAAAAATTCGGTTAAAATCGGACAATTAGGAGGAAAGATATGGCCTCTAATTTTTTTTCCCTGAAGAGGAGAAAATTTGGATAAATTTAAAATATACTTTTTTAATTGTTCAGACTAAAAAACCTTTTTTCTACAGATATTTAATAAAATATCTTTCCTAAGAACATTTTTCATAAGAAATAAGTACCTAAATTTATTCCTTTATTCTCAGTTCTATATTTCAACACCGCAATCACCACCTCCGGAATCAACTTACTCATATTCTGCATAGATAACTTTTTCAACTAAAAATATCACTAAATTGACATTACTCAAAAATGTTGAAATTGGAGTTAGTCATTCTGTGGTTTATAAAAGCAGATGGAGTGACTAGATTTTTATTGCCTGTCGTCGATATATTAAATAGAAAT